CCCAGTACGATTATGTCGTCCAGATAGGCGAAGCAATACGGATCCAGTTCAGGTCCTATTATACGGTCCATCAAACGTTGGAACGTGGCTGGAGCTGCATGTAGCCCAAACGGCATTACCCTGAACTGGAACAGCCCTCGGCCAGGTACTGTGAATGCTGTGACTGGTTTGCTTGCATCGGTCAAGGCTACTTGCCAATACCCCTGCTTCAAATCAATACTAGAAATGTATCTAGCGCGGCGCAATTTATCTAAAATTGCATTTATGAAGGGTAGTGGGTATGCATCCTTATGTGTCACAGCATTGACTTTCTGGAAGTCGATGCAAAACCTTGGTTTGCCATCCTTCTTTCGGACTATAACAACAGGTGAGCTCCAGGGGCTATTGGACGGTTCTATTATGCCTTCTTCCAGCATTTTATCAACTTCGTCGTTGATTACCTCCTGCATTCTTGGATTCTGCGGTCTGTAACGCTGTTTGATCGGTTCCGGATTGATCAAACGTATCTCATGTTTGAGTATCGGCGTTACTCCCTTTATGCTCCCGAATTGAGCTAGCTCCTGGTCCAAGAATGCTTGGAGTTTTCTTTCCTCAGTCGGGGTGAGTGCAAGCTTTTCAATACGGTCTACGGTACTAATCAGGTGTTCCGGTTGCGGTCTCTGGTCGACTATCTGTTTTCCATCCATACGTATACTCCCATCTGACAGGTCCAGTTGGAATTTCTGCGGTTTCAGAATATCCATGCCTATGACAAAATCAGATGATAGGCCAGGAAGATGTCCAACTATGGCGGGAATAGTTGTGTTCCCAATCACTAAGTCCAAGTGATATTTGCTGGGAACTTGAGCTGGGAGGCCATTTGCCATTCTGGCCATGGAAGCATCCGGTGCTCCTTTTCGAACTCCCATATCTTGACATTTTCTAGCCACGTTATCTCCCATATACGTCCTGGATGCTCCAGTATCTAACAGGGCCTCAAAACGGTCACCAAGGGTATGCACAGAAACGAATGGACGGGCATCTTCAGGTCGGACGGTTCGGATCGTTTCCGAGACATTGGTGGAATGGCACTGCTCAGGTCTCGGTGCAGGGCAATGCCTTCCTAGTTTTCCGACCTAGGACAGGGACAGTCACGGGACATCACTCCTTCCTTCCCACATCTGGAGCAAAATAACTTAGGAGTGGATCGGCACTGACTCCTCAAATGTCCTGTCTGTCCACATCTCCAACACACAGCTGGTGCTGATGAGCTTGTTCCTGTCCTGGAGTTGGAAACAGACTGGAAAACTCTCCTTGATTCATTCCTCTCCGATCTGGGTGAGGTCATCTTCGGCCTTGGAATCTCTGGAGCTGTCAGAGAGGTTGTCGCTGGGGATGTCGGTGGGGCTCTCGACACGACAGGGTACCTGGCAGTCACTGCATAGGTTTGGTACCTCTCCTGTATCTCTCCTCTGAGAAGTTCAAACTCCTTCACAGCACGAGAAAAAGTAACAATATCGGCAAAGTCACTTCTTTTGATATGCTGTCGATATTCTGGTAGCAAGTTCCGGTATAGCCACGTCAGCTCTTGTTCCGGTGTCATACTCCCATGCCTTCGCACAAGCGTCTGGATATCGGTTATGTAAGCTTGTACAGGCTCGTTTGGTCCTTGGAGACGTCTACCAATAGCAACCTCTAGGTCTACTTGGTAGTTGACAGGAAAGTAGAAGATTTTAAACAATTCCACAAATGCATTCCACGTTGTACAGGCTGAACGGTTGTTTCGGTACCAAAGGGCGGTTTCCCCTTGGAACAGATCGGGTAATACGGCTATCAATCGATGAGCTGGTATATTCTGGGATACTCTGATCTCATCGAGCCTCTCCAGAAATGCTACTGGGTCTCCTAGCCCATCAAATGACAAATTCCAGTCTCGAGTGCGTATCGGTTCTGGACTCGCCGTTGCCATTGATGTAGATGGAGCTGTCATCATGGTCGGTACGGCCATAGTCGGTACGGTTGTTGCCTGTGCGGTTCCGGTTGAAGTCACATTCACAGGGGGTACGGTGTTCAGATTCGGGAATGTCCAAGTCGAAGTCAGTGGGACACTCCCTGGAGTCGGTGTGGGTGGGGCGGTACCCACTCGACCTTCCCTCAGGAACCTAACCAGTCGTCTCCTTTTGTCCTCAACTGTTCCAGTGACTTCAAGGCCAAACTTAGACAGTTCCACGTCTATATCAGCTTTCTTCAGCTGATAAACCCAGCTCACTCTGACATCTACAGGCTCTTTACTCTTCGACGGTGAAGTCTGTCCTTCTGCGGACTCGGGAGGCTTTGTAGTGTCTTCGTTCCTCATTTTCGGTGTATACGATTGATCAGCACGTCTGACTTCTTCAGAATCTCGAGATAGAATCCTCGATCGATTTTCTTGATGTCCAAGTTCAAATAATTTCCGTCGGTCTTCGGTTGAACTCGGATATCCCGTGAACAGACGACAGTAACAACTTGGGAATGTCCTAAACGGTTTTCTCGTCCCTGCAAACCTAGAAAACGATGTGCCACACGACTATGACTCCAATTGTCTGGACAGCTGTCAACCTGACAGCTGTTGATTTTATCTCGAAACACTATGGCCAAACAATCCCTACCGTGACTAAATAGTTTTAGGGTTAAAATGCTCAAGCTTCACGTATGTCTCGAGGCAGAGTGATCATAGCAACTTGAAAATACAATCCTTGATATCCAGCCCTAACTGAAAGAATATTTACTTGTCTATATACAAAAATAGCTTACTCGGGTTATCTCGGTTAAACTCGGTTTGACTCGGTTCAACTCGGTTTTACTCGGTTTAACTCGGTCCGACTTGGTATAACTCGGTTTAACTCGGTATAACTCGGTTTAACTCAAGTCCCTGCTCGGGCGCCAAATTTGTAAGGTTATCTACTCTGAGATAAGTTGTTTAGCGCCCCAACTCGGGTTAATAACTAATGTACTCGGGCGCCACCTATTTTATAGTGGTAGGTCCACTTGCACCGGGCAACTTTCAGTGGAGATAGTATTTTCCAGGGGTCTGAGACTTCAACTGTCAAAGTGACATTCCTTATATTCAACTTATTCCCTGGATTATTAGTTGCACCAATAGTGAATGGAATAAAACTCAATGATATATTACAACTATATATTCTAAATGCATCTACAAGATTACTTACAATTACTTATTTACAAATCTAATTTACATTATATACAATAATCAGATGCTATGATCAATACCCCCTCTCTCTCGAGACATACGGTATTCAATTCAATTTCGAATGCAAGCTCGCGGGTTATTCAAAGCAACTAAACTTAATGAAAATTGCAGTCTATAGTATTAAAAGCAAAACTAGCAGCAAGCTTTAATAATTACACTACATCAATGCTGTACATACATGCAACATCTAGCATACAGGAGATACTCACTGAGTATGCATGCACGCAAGTTATCTATCGTGCACCTCAAATGATCAGGTGATACGTCACACTTAGATCAATCACGGCTGAAAGAGAACTTATATTAAATACAACAAAATCGTGCATACAGGAGATACTCACTGAGTATGCATGCACGCAAGTTATCTATCGTGCATCTCAATGATCAGGTGATACGTCACACTTAGATCAATCACGGCTGAAAGAGAACTTATATTAAATACAGCAAAATCGTGCATACAGGAGATACTCACTGAGTATGCATGCACGCAAGTTATCTATCGTGCATCTGAATGATCAGGTGATACGTCACACTTAGATCAACCACGGCTGGAAGAGAACTTATATTAAATGCAACAAAATCTTGCATACAGGAGATACTCACTGAGTATGCATGCACGCAAGTTATCTATCGTGCATCTCAACGATCAGGTGATACGTCACACTTAGATCAATCACGGCTGAAAGAGAACTTATATTAGATACACAATACTATCCTGCATCCCGGAGACTCCCATTTGGTATTACTCTCCGCTGTCCTCACCTAACGCTCTTTCTCTATTCTCCTGTCCTCTGTCGGTCGGTCCGGTCTGGTATGCTGGCGTGGCTGTCTGGTCGGTTGCTCTCGCTGGACTCCTTTCCTAGTCCCCAGTCCTCTGGCTTCTAGGCGGCTCTCCCCTCTCCGTCGGTAGTCCTCGGCTGGCTTCGGTGTCGGCTCGTCCTTGGTCCCGCTGGTCTGCTGGCTGCGCGTGTATAGCCGGCTAAGCGCACAAGCTATACTGATTCTCCGTCGGTCTCTCTGAGCAACGGCGACTCGCTAGGCGAGCTTCCACCACTTCTCTCAAATGGTGGGGCGCACCCGAGATACGTATACTTGGATGGATATCGCTCTGATATCCACTCCGCGTTTTATTAATTATCAAATCAAAATATTTACAACTGATCAAAACTAAATCGTGGATGATGAAGACTATGAATAATACTTCCGGGGTATTATTTATATCATTCACGAAAAAGAACGGAATTCCTAGCTCACTATTTACAAAAGTTGTTAATTACTATACCGTATGTCTCATATAACACTCAAAATAAAAGTAACTTCGTTACACCGTATAGTGTAATTTTGAAGATATGCGTTGTTTACTTTTCATACAATTAACATCTACATATGATTCGATGGGTTCGGCATATAACCAAGAGTTTGAATTTGCTAGTTGAATACAAATTGGGTAATCTAACTGAACTATCCTTCTTTCGCATGATTTTGGAATATCAGTGGATGGTATGAACCTTTTTGAAGAGTAGACTTGAATAAGGGGCTAAGTGCCAAAAAGAAAAACTTTCAGCAGACTCAAGAAAACCGATTCATTCAACCATTCATGAATGAAAATGTTTGTAATTTGACAAAATTGTTTATTTGCAAACTTAAAACATTAACAAAGTGAAAAAACACAAAAAAATCAAAAATGTTCTTGATACAAACAAAAGAAAATGAAAAAAATGGAAAAGGGCAAAGTACCACTAGCATTTTCATGGTAGGTAAATGACGGCAACTATTCTGTGAGTTTTTGGTAGAACTCCCGGTGCTCTGGTGAATGAAGATATGGAATCATAGCACGTAAATTTTGCTTTTTAGCTTCATTAAGTTCTGGGGTCGATTCCTGTCCAAATATCTGTACGTTTTTTATTTGGTCCCCAGATATATTTTTCTTGAGAACTTTTATCTTTTGCCAATCTTCGATATCACTGTGCGATTTTTTAAAAAACACATATCCTGGGTTATCTTTTGTAACTCGTATCTGTGACAACGTTGATATTGAAAGCTTAGTAGTAGATATCAAGGAATCCGCAGCTCGTTGCAGATTCAAAAAGTGTCTAGGTTTCATTTTTACAACTTTATATGGCCGTATTGATCTGGTATCTCTGATGAGTTGTTCTATGTCCTCAGGCACGAAACATTTTTCAAGTCTTCTTCTCCTATCTATCTGTGCGAAATAACGATCATTAGGTAAGTAGCTGTGACCACTAACGAGGATTTTCATAGTTATTTCTGTGAATAGACCGATAGATGTTGAAAACAGCATTAAAAATATTGCCTCCCGATTCTTATTCTGCCCGGTGCAGTTGTCACACCATATGTTCAGTTTTTCCTTTTCTGTAACGTTGGAATTTAAAACCTTCAGTAAGCAGGACATGATTTCATAAGAACCCCTGGAAGCTTCGGTTTCATTCCAAACACACATGAAGGCTTCATTTGTATCAGCAATATGCACACTGAAATTGTAAACAGACAGTTGCCTCATGTAATACATATCGTAGTGAGTTAACGTTGGAACGAATAATACTTTTCCTAGATCTACTGTTATTATGCAAGTATCACTTCCTGATTGCTGGTAAAAAGCGCAATCTCCTTTAAGGATGGTTTGAGCTTTCTCTGCCTTACGGTGGTGCAACTGTAACTCATCGCTTACAGCGGGCGATGCATTTTTGTCCATTTTTAACACACATGCGTATTTGTCGCAGGTCTTACAAGTATCCGTTCTGGGCCTACGAAAACTCAAATTTGGAAATTCTTTCTTGAAAACTCTGCAGTAGTATTTATATAGCACTTGATTGTCCGGATACTTTTTATTGAAAGCTTTTGCAAGACGATGGATATTAAGGTCAGGGCTAAGGTACAATTTTGAGCTTTTTTCACGAGAGTAATGGCTCTCGTTTTTTGGTACTGAATTCATGTGACTTATAATACGGTCACGATCTTCTTTGGTATAAACTTTTCGATGATTGCCATCAGTTCCGCGTTTATCTGTGTAGGCTATATCACCACTTTTCTTCTTCGTTATCAGAATTTCTATCTTTTTTTTTTCCCAGTGACAATATATTCATAAAGGTTTTCTTACAAACGTTAACAACACTTCCTGATCCGTCAGGTAAAGTATAATATATCGTACTCTGCCTTCTACTCTCCCTTGGGTCAGTATATTGACCATTACGTCTTCTCTTAACATCTCCTAAATGCATTTGGGACATACAAGATGATCCTTGTGCGTTCAGATCCAAAGAGTAGAAATTATCAAAAAGTTTCTTCTTCTCTTCACCTCCAATATTTTTGCAACCATCATTATAACATTTGCACACCATCTAGAATCAAAGATTTCAAAGGAGTAGAACACTCTCCGAGCCGAAAATTAAACATACCTCAGGATCCGGTTGCTTTTTTGCTGGAACACTTTTTCCTGTACTAGACACATATTCTTTACCGGACACTTTGAGTTTTTGTTGAACTTTGAACTTAGTTCCAGTTCCTTTTTTTTTATTATTATCATCATCGTTTCCTATATTCATTTTATCGTTTATACCACGCAAGAACGCACAAACACAATGCTTCCGACAGAGCAAAAACTGCAAAATGGATGATGCAGGAGAAAACGTTTCATTTATTCGCCAAACAAAATAATACTGATGGCACTTTGCCCCTTTAATTGGAAACGACTCTTGGCATTTACATAGGTGCGCCATTTGTGTAGCCGATTACGGAAAGAAAATATTCGTTTGGAACTTAGCCCCTTATAAGGGACATAAGATATGGTATTCAACATCTTTTTATAAAATAAAAATAAAAAACTGTATTTTGGTACTTACCCCCTTATTTGAGTCTACTCTTGATTTGATTCACAGCCCCCATGAAGATGTACTAATAAAATTGGTTTTGTTTATTCGCAAACAAAGGTACTACGAATTGGAGATTTGCGAGCTGATAGTTCGATTTTATCCATCATAAAATAGTGCTGTTTTATAGAATCAATTATTAAGAATGGTTTTTGAGGCATCATGAATGCATATTTATTTTCGGTTATTCTTGTGGAAAGACTTGAGAGTCTTGAGACTTTCATGATGTCATAAACACGAGCTTTCACTAATGGTATCAACAATTAGAATGCTATTTTGTCATTGTAATAAAATGCATTTGTTTCAACTAAATTGAATAAAACATGAGTATTTTCAACTAACGAACTAACAGGGAAATTTAATCCATCCATATAGTTTTGAAGATTAGAGAGTTCTTGAATTAATTCAATAGGACTTATTATCAATGGATGGAGTAAACCTCTTACATCACTTCACCTAAAAGATTTTCTTGTGGCATTTTGAATGTCATCTGAATTAAGTTATAAATGTTAACCAACTCATTTATCTTTGAAGTAACTTCTTATTCAAAATCTGATTATTACTAAAATTATTCAGTATTTCTTGGAAATCATTTAACCTACATTCTAACGTTCTTATATTTTTCTGAAATTGAAATACAGTTGAATTTGTTGCATAAACAGTGCCTTTCACTATGGACAATTGTTGTTTTAAAAGTTTTGCTAAGTGATTTTCGTTTACTTTCAACTTCTCAATCTGATTATCATAATATTCGGCATCTTCCGAATCTAAAGTCCCAAATAAAGTTTTAGAAACTGTTCCTACTAAATTAATTAGCCCTCTTTTGTAGATTTTTCTTGAATGATTATTTTCTACACCTAACATTTCCATCATCAATTTGTCTTTAGTTTGAATATTATTCATTGAGTATTCGATAGCAATATTAAAAGAATTACACTCGGTGGCTTCGACTTCATACCTTTTAGCCATACTACAAATATTTTGAATTCATTTACTGTGAAAGTTGAGTGATTTGAATTTATCGTAATAATTTTCGAGTTCGAAATATGTTAATAATTTCCATTTATCATTGAATAGGCTTAGTTGTCCAATTTTTTCGTAATAGAGGCCAGGACTGCTTTCGATAGGAGTGATATTATAATACGTACTTGGTTTATTATTGGCTCGGGAGGTATGAAATATAACATGAATAAGGTTCCAATAATACATGAACTTGAGGGAGCACATGCTAATAGGATTTCTGAACAAAAGGAATAATTCATTCGGGATTATTTCCGGGGTTAGTCATTAAATCGCTTCAATCTATTCATGTGAACTTTGGTAGGTTTACGTTTAATCATAATGGTACAATTTACGTCGGAGTCTATAGATATAACTTGGTACGGCCCTGTATATAACGGTTGTAACTTTTCGTTTTTCCTGAAATAATTGATTCATTCTTTAATAAAACCTTGTCTCCTACTTTGATATCTAGAGACTTTATGTTTTCGTCATAATAATCCTTTGAAATTTTTTTTCTCTGGTTTATAGTTTCTCTAGCTATTTCGTGTGAATGTTGCATACGTGATTTCAATTCATTATAATTATTATCGTAGCTGCAAAGTAATTCAGGAGATTTTCTTAAAGCTGATGGAGTGGTGTTGAAAACGAATGTTGCAAAAGGCATGAATTCGTCCCAATTGTTCATATCCTTGTTGATGTAGTTTCGCAAATATTCGACAAGGGTTCGATGTGATCTTTCTAAACTACCGTTACTTAGAGGATGAAAACTGGTACATTGAATTTGTTTAATCTTCAATAAACGACAAGTCTCCTTGAAAACTTCGCTAAGAAAATTTGTTCCTTGATCGGTAATTAAAAATTTAGGTGCACCGTATTGGCAAATGATTTTTGTCGTGAAATTATAGGCTACCGTGTTTGCTGTCTGGTTTGGAATAGGAATAGCAATGGAAAATTTGGAGTCATCTTGAAATATTAACAAGTATTTGTTGAGATTTTCTGTCTCGTTGAGTGGTC